TTGGTGCTGAACTCGGATGCAGTTTCAATGGGCTTCGCCCGGTGTCTACCATCACAATCCGTCCGTGACCTTTGTCGGCAGCGTTGTCTGACCTTAGCCTCTGCTGGCACAATAGTCTGACCCTCAACCCTCCCGGTAGTATCTATTGACACTGAACAGTGAGACAGCACCGTTTGACCTTGACCTCACCCGCAGAAAATCGACGCCGAGCCGAACATTGGGAGTTGGCCGAGACAAGTCGGCCATTCCCGAAGACGATGACGTCACGGCAGCCAACGGAGATGACGTCACACATCATGGATCCGGCGCGGCTGGCACAGATGTCGGGTATTTCCGGGTGGAGCGCAGGCAGAAGCGCAGTCAGGGTCCTCGAGTAGGGGGTCTCGGGACTTGTATTTCTGTTCTTAGGGGGAGCCAGAAAGCAGAAGGAAAAGATAGAAGGCTGCACTGGAGCGCGTAGGGCGTGGGTTGAAGCAAACAAAATTCGTGGCTCGTGCCAACTCATGCCCAGTTGGTTCAGTCTTACACCGATCGACAGACATTCGTGGTAACGAATAGCTAAGACCACCCCTGTCAAAGGTTTTATCGCTCCATTTAAAAATGTAATGAAAGTGCACATATAGTTCATAGCACGAGCACGGCCAGTCTTGGTAACGTGTGGACAGCACAAATAGAGGAAATAAAAACAATAGAACGCAATTTTATTTATATCAGAATCGTCTGTCTTGAAGTGTACTTGATATACAGAGTGGTCGTATTCCCCATGGGAGACGCCGCCCCGTTCCCTGATTTTCTGACATTGTGTGCATAGATAAGCAAGAAAAAAGGGCATGGAAACAGTCGAACAGAAAAATTCCAAAGACAAAAGTCGCGAGACAAAAAGTCGACAGAGATAAAGGTCGATAACGATATCAGTTGAATACAAAAAGAATGCAAAGGGATAAAACTCCACAGCGATTTTAAAAATACCAACCAGCTCACCAATGGGAGCCAAAACACCAGTGGGAACCAGGAACCGGGGCCTGCCGTTGTAAAAGAGCTTATTGGATCCAGCGAACCAAGGTCTGGCGTCTGTGAAAACCCAATGGGTAGCAGTATGTCAGTTCTGTTATTTGTGAATGAATCAGTGGGAGCCAGAAGCTCCTATTGCTATTTTTAGAAGAGCCGGTTAGGACCAGAAACCAGGAAGCTGTGTTGCTAAACAGCCAACATGACCCAGGACTCAGAGAGTTGGGTTTTTAAAGTAACTTGCCGGAAATAAAGACCCGACATATCGATTTCAGAAGGGGGAAGTTGGAACCAGGAGCAAACATTGCGAGCCAGGCACTCCAGGTCTGTCCAGCACCAGGACTAAGGGAAAGCCGTCATTTCCAGCGGGCGTTACCGTTCTGCGCCGCCTCCTGCCGTGGGCGCCTGTATTCCTCGCAACTGTCCCAGAAAAAAACTAAAGAGGGACTTTTCATGGGCACAGGTAGCGGCTAGCAGAATACTCCCAGCAGATCGACCGCCGTTCCCGGTTCCTGATCGACTTTATCCCATTCGCATTTTGGTTCGTCGCCTTTTTTTTGCTATACTTTTTACATTAGGCTTTTTCTCAGTCCGCGCTGAATTCAGCATATTTGAGCCGCGTGTTTGTGGTTCCATTTAACGACCCCATGAACATTAAGTGTCTAAATATTTTTTGACTTCCTCGGATTCATTTTCCGTGATTAGCGTTCTAGTTACCAAACTTGTTCACCCAGAGAGACCCATTGTTCAATGTCCATTGTGATTTTGTTTCACCAGTGCGAACTGCATCTCTCCTGCAGTATTACGAAACGCAATAGTTCATACAAAGCTCTCGGGCCACCACACTGAGGCAAGCCATTTTGCTCGATAGTAAATAGAATGCCTTAGCTCTAATGTCACTGACCCGTTTGCTGTTGGAAA